TCATTTTGAGCGTCTGCGCATGCGCAAGTGGTGAAAACTGGAAGTAACGTGCTCCGTTACTTCTGGGTTGCCGTGGAGCGCAACTCGAACGTGCTCAACTTGAAGCAAATTTAACCCAAGGTATGACTGTATTAGAAGAAGCTTGTCGCTACGAGGCCTCCTGTGGGACTCCCCTGGGCTGCTTCCTTCATTCAGACTGCCATCTCAGAAGGCATCCTGGAACTGAGGCACGACAGCTGATCTCGGATTTTCTTTCCCTCTTTCAGTTAAGAACCCTATCGAAGCCAGTGTGCTGCTTGCCGAGGCCTCGCTCGCCCGTAAGCAGCGCAAGTGTCACGCCACTTTCATCCCGCTCATGCTGAATGAGATGCCCCAGGTGGGGGACCTGGTGGGGCTGGATGCTGAATTTGTCACCCTCAACGAGGTAGGCATTGCATTGTGGGGAGAGGGGGGAGGTCAGTTGGGAGGACTGGAATAATAATAATAATAATAATTAATTTATTTATACCCCGCCCACCGCCCATCTGGCTGGGCTTCCCCAGCCACTCTGGGCGGCTTCCAAAAAAAATATTAAAATACTGTTCAAACATTAAAAACTTCCCTAAACATTAAAACTTCCCTAAACAGGGCTGCCTTCAGATGTCTTCTAAAAGTCTGGTAGTTGTTATCTTTGACATCTGGTGGGAGGCCATTCCACAGGGAGGGTGCCACTACCGAGAAGGCCCTCTTCCTGGTTCCTTGTAACTTGGCTTCTCGCAGTGAGGGAGACCGCCAGAAGGCCCTTGGTGCTGGACCTCAGCGTCCGGGCAAGAATGATGGGGGTGGAGATGCTCCTTCAGGTATACTGGGCCCGAGGCCGTTTAGGGCTTTAAAGGTCAGCACCAACACCTTGAATTGTGCTTGGAAACGTACTGGGAGCCAGTGTAGGTCTTTCAAGACCGGTGTTATGTGGTCTCGGCGGCCGCTCCCAGTCACCAGCCTAGCTGCCGCTTTCTGGATTAGTTGTAGTTTCCGGGTCACCTTCAAAGGTAGCCCCACGTAGAGCACATTGCAGTAGTTCCTGAACCTCTCGCCTGTAGGCCTTTGAGCCTTTGAGCAGCGGCCTCTTCATAGGGCCAATGGGAGCTCTTCTTTGTGAGGAGGCCACACAACATAATTCGTTCACCCCTTGAAAATACGCACTAGGAGGAGGCTGAGCTTCGCAGTGACGGGACCAAATCCACTATCAAGCCCAGTCAGATGTCGGTGGCCAGGATTACGTGTGTGAGGGGGCAGGGTCCCAACGAGGGCGTTCCCTTCATCGATGATTACATTTCCACGCAAGAACAGGTAGGCAGCTTTCTCTGTGCAAACCTTGCAGAGCTAATCCTGGCTCTCCCTACTAAGGAGGCTTTAGACAAGTTGGTCCCCTGCTCTCTTCATCTCAAGAACTTTCCTTGATAGGATAGTGTTATCTCCATTCCACGTGGCAGTAGCTGTGCTGTGAAGTCCAGTCCTTGTCCTCACAGTCCTGGATGGTGAGGGATGGGCATACAGAAAGCTGTTTGGGATGGGCTAACACGGGGAGGTACGGGTGGCGTTGTGGACTAAACCACTGAGCCTAGGGCTTGCCGATCAGAAGGTCGGCGGTTCAAATCCCTGCGACGGGGTGAGCTCCCGTTACTCGGTCCCTGCTCCTGCCAACCTAGCAGTTCGAAAGCATGTCAAAGTGCAAGTAGATAAATAGGTACCGCTCCAGCAGGAAGGTGAAGGGCGTTTCCGTGCGCTGCTTTGGTTTTGCCAAAAGCAGCTTAGTCATGCTGGCCACATGACCCGGAAAAACTGTCTGCGGACAAACATCGGCTCCCTGGGCCAGTAAAGCGAGATGAGCACCGCAGCCCCAGAGTCGTTCACGACTGGACTTAACTGTCAGGGGTCCTGGGAGCTGAATGTGGTCCTCTAGGCCTCTCTGTTGGCCCTTGGGACTTTCCATAGGCCACACCCCTCACCCTCCTTGAGTGTTTTTGCCAGACAAAGCCTCCTGCTTGCCTCAACGCATTGCTCCACCCACCACTGACACGTGGTCCCAAGACGTTGCTCAGAAAGGGAACATGGCCAGCAGATTAAAAATGTTTCCCTACTCCAAGCTAACAGAATGAGCTGTCGTTCTCTGTGAACTAAAAGAAGCCTTGGCATTGAATGCAATGTTTTCTTCCTTTCCATCTTCCTTTGCCCCTTCTTAGGTGGTGGATTACCTCACTCAATACTCTGGAATAAAGCCGGGGGATCTGGATGCCAAAATCTCCTCCAAACACCTCACCACCCTCAAATCCACCTACCTGAAACTACGCTTCCTCATCGATGTCGGGGTCAAGTTTGTGGGTCATGGATTGCAAAAAGACTTCCGGGTCATCAACATCATGGTGACTGCCTCCGTTTTGAACCTTGACATATATGTCCCTCATGTATATATGTTTGGGCCTCTGTATGTGAAGGAGCTGACAGTGTACAGGGGGCGCGCAGGGATTTCTTAGCAGACAAATCAGTGGGGAAAGTCTTTCTTGACAGTAGGAAGATTCAGAAACCACAGAAATAGATTGTTGCCTCTAAATGCTTGTGCCAAAATAAGCCATTCATCTGGCAAACTTTTATGGGACCATCAAGTCCACCATGATAAGGAACAGATGCTACCCCTAACTTCAGTGGATAAAAACTACTGAAACAAAAGACATTCGGTGGAAACTAAAGACGCTATGCCCGTGGCTGAGGATAATAGTTTGAACCCTTCCAGTGGATATGGGGGGTGGGGGGTGGGAAGGGAGGGAAAGGAAAAAATTATAAGGGAAATTTAAAATTGGAAGGAGATAATGTATGTAAAAATCCCGAACTCGAATAAAACTTCAAAAAATAAACAGAAAAAACTTTTATGGGACCATAAAAAGCAGCAAGTGTTATGCTTTTGTCTGGAATTTTTGTAAGTCTAGGACTATTTAGCTGAGTACCTTCAGGACTCATATGCTCCCAGAACATAACTGGACCTCGCCTGTTCTTGCAGGTTCCCAGGGACCAGGTGATTGACACCGTCTACCTGTTCCACATGCCCAGGAAGAGGATGATCTCGCTGCGCTTCCTTGCCTGGTATTTTTTGGGTCAGTACAGACCTTATTCGGTGCCTATCTATCTCCCAGCCAGCCTGAACTCGCTGCCAAGGATTCCCTCAAGCACAGTAATTCCCTTTGCATCTGTGTCAAGAGGATTGAAATGTCCTTGACACCCCCAGCCTAGTTCTGGAGTTGAGAATTCAGAGTTGAGAATTTGAGCCCGCAGAGCCGAACTGGAGAACATCAACAGACAGAGCTCCAAGGAGGGGAGGGTCTGAGGAGGGGATTGGGTCAATACCAGGGCCTGAAGGTTGGGGATGCTGTTTCCTAGATTTGATAGACTGAAGAAGGGCAGATCCTTTGCCCTAAGCAGCAACCGTTAGAAGTGTTTCCCCTTTCCTGCTGCGGTGGGAGTAGGCAAGGCCGCATCAAG